GAAATGTTAGGCAAGACACAAACACGAAAAATAGCTCTCCTGTAAAATATGCATTTTGTGACATATAATACTTCTGCATTCAAGCAACGGTATAAAGGTCACGATTTGACTAGACATGCAAGAGGCATCTCAGTAAATATGCGCCAGGCAAAGTCGTGATCTTCAGTTTGATAAACTCAGATCTGCAGGGATCTCTATATCTTAGATTTGCTATATATCAGATACATCTTCTCTGTAGGGAAATACTCTGTACATATGGGGAGAGTGGCCCCACGCCAGAAGGGCGTATGTTATTTTGCTATGGAAGTACCCATGGTAACTGGGCAACAGGACGTTTAGTCAAACTGAGTTTCTTAAATTGCGAATTAAATAAATTATGCTTGTTAAAGATTTGGTAACATAACTGATATGTTCAAGGAGGAATCGATATATACACCAAGAAATTTCACAACCTTTGCGTGGTCACCATTCTGATTGTTATTTCGAAGTGTGATTGTTAAGCATTGAGATTTGTTTGAATTTAGTGTTAATTTGTTAGCTATAAACCAATTCTGAATTCTACTGGCTATCGTTTCGCTGTTGATGTTTGTAAATGGTAGAACAACCACGGCCTGATTGTATTTAGGAATAGGAACAGCGACCTCAACCCAACCACAACTCAACTGAGTCAAGCGTTATCACAAACCAATGGAACCCAGCCAGTTGCTGGCACTGAAGTTGCTAGTCGACTTCGATATGGTCATATCCTCAAAAAATCATTGATGGCTCAATAAAGTACCTATCTAACAGGTTATTGTGATCTGTGCAGTGATTGTTGAAAATTGTCAAGTAAATTCATGTGGACAAGTGATCTTCAGACTTTAGAGATATGTTTGAGTACAAAGTGTCATTTTCTGCAGATCAGTCATTGCATATTATATTTGATAAATATTGGGATTTTTTGTCTTGGCTTTTTCGGAAACGAGATATTGTTTTTTTTTATGCTATATGATATGTAGATCACGAAGAACCACGTCACTCATTTTTGTCGGTATGTCTGCCTGTCGGTCCAAAGATCAGGACCGTCTATAATTTGGAAAATGTTACTCGAATTTGGAGGATATTTCCACACAGGCTTGCTACTAAATCGATTGAACTTCGTTTTTTGTTGCGTTTCAGGGGCTTCTGATAATTTTCAGAAAAATTTTTGTTGAATACCCAAAGTTGGTATGGTATTTATATGCTTGCAACCTGAGTAGTTTTACGCACCTATCAGTACATATTTCGATCGGGTATGATGCCATGCAACCCTTGCCTTGCGTCTGATACCCCGGCGGACAGGGATGTTATGTTATAGTATCGCAGCTGGTAGTTATGTCGTGTTTGACTTGTAAGGCCAAGCAGCGTTGCCATATGGCCGGTAGTTAGAGCAGGGAAGATACTAGCATTTTTAAAAGGAAGGGACTATATTTTATTTATTTATTTTATTCATTAAAACACCCTACAATAAATACCAATTACAGGGTGAGGAAACACCGAACATAACATAGATATAAAAGGCAATAATAAGTAATAGACTACAAAGCGTAAAAGATCCATGCTGGTTACTTAATGGTATTTTTTATGTCTGCAATTCTGCAGCTAAATATATCAATTCCTACACATCACATGCAAAGGGGAATAATGTCCGCGCCGTAGGTAGATAAAACGTAAAGTTTTGTTGGGATTTCAGCCTAGGTACGTTGAATGATAACTGACCCAATAAAGCTAAATCATTGATCAATTTAAATAGAAAAATCACTGACTGGCAAGTGCGCCCTGCTTCAAGACTGCTGATTAGATGTTTTTCCAGTAAGGAATCATGAGGTATATCTATGGGTGGGTAAACGCCATCCAATTTTAGTGAAAAATATTTTGAGAAACGTCTTTGAACACAATCAAGCCTACTTATATGAATAATATAATGCGGATTCCAAATTAGCAGTGCATACTCAAGCTTCGACCTAACATATGCATAATACAGCAACTTCAAGGTGGTACTCTGAGTGAAGTTACGGCAGTTTCTTACAATAAAGCCGTACATGCGGTTTGCCTCAGAAATTTTGCTGTCAATGTGTTTGACGAATGTTACTTAGGAGTCAAATGTCACGCCTAAGTCACATAAAATTGAAGCCCTCTGAATAGAGGTACCTGACAGGGTATAGTCAAATAACAGAGGATTTTTCTTCAAAGTTTAAGACATTATGTAACATTTATTGATGTTTATTGGTCGATTGCTTTGTGAGCACCAAGCATCCAACCTAAAAATTGATCACAGTCTGATTCATTAACTACACGACAACACATCTTCAGATCATCAGCGTAAAGTAAACAATTCTCGCCAACAGCATTAACTATGTCATTCACAAATATGACGAACAATGAAGGCCCTAGGTTACTGCCTTGTGGTACTCCGGAATTGGCTACACACTCCGATGATATGATACTATTACACATCACAAAATTATTTCTTCCAGACTTAAATAGTTGTATTAAAGACTCTGATAATCCATGAGATTTCAGCTTATGCAATAGCATACTGTAATCAACTCTGTCGGAAGCCTTGGAGAAGTCTGTGTAGATCACATCTGTTTGTAATCCTCTGTCAATGTTTTCTGCTATGGTCTGTGTGAAGTTCATCAGATTTGATACTTGAGCGCCCTTTCATGAAACCATGTTGTTGAACACATATTTTTCTGCTGACATGATGATACATGTAGTCTGTTATATATTAATACCTCTAGAACTTTTGAAAAATTGCACAATATTGATATAGGTATAAAATTTAATACATCATTCCTACTGCCGTTTTTGTGTATTGGACATAGTTTGGGCCCGTATCGTCAGTCGTCCCTACAATTGTAGGGCGCCTCTATGGCCTCCTTGATTGTCATAATTTTCTACTTCACCGTGTCAGCGCTCTACTTTTAGATTATGTCACAAACATCTATTTGCATCAAATTGTGCTTGCTTTTGAGTTATATCACGTTTTATAAGCCTGAAATTTCCTACAGTTTAAAAAGAAAACATATCTTCACAATAGGAGAGCGCTGACGCTAACACGGTACAAGAAAAAGGAGTATGACAATCAAGGAGGCCATAAACGCGCCCTACAATTATTGTAGGGACGACTGACGATACGGGCCTAAGACAACTTCCATAATATAAAGGATGCACTAATGATATATGATCCTGTTTGACTGACTTGACCCATATAATGTTTTGTTATACATGTTTGTTCAAAGGAGCTAACCTGGGCTGAAAATAATCATTCATGAACTGATGACAGCATCACGCGGGACGTGCAGAGTCAAAATACTTGAAGCCATTTTTTTCTTTCCTTTTTTGAGGACTTCATATTTACTGTATTGCTATAAAATGCGGTCCATAGGTTGACTAGATTGTGGGCGAAGTATTAGAAGAATTCCGAGCAGGGTGATACATTTGTACTGCAGCACGCAATACAGATTATTGCAATACTGGTTCCCTACATCTAGCTTAGTTGATCTCAAGCGCAAAATACTAAACCGCCCAAGATGTATCGTCGAAATGATGAATAGATATGATCAGCAAAGGAAAACATTTATGACAATAATGACAGCCTACTGTGAAATTCAAATGTTAAATTTTCCCTCAAGGGTCCGTTTACGTCCCAGGATGGACCATACCTCAATCGGAACTCAGTGCACAAGGATATCTTGTACATGAGACTCTTCACCAGCGTAATGACATTCTTTGCCTCCAGGGAAGTTGTTTCTAGATACGCTGTTAAATGTCAGGTGCTTTTGTGCAGAATGTCTAAAAATGTCAAGACCCGTCTACTGGAAGCTCATACCGTCAGCTAAATCCGTTAGGTTGCAGTTCCCTTAAGGCTCAAGACCATCGTCAGATTTCTCATAATATTGACTGTAGACCGGGCCTGCAACGAACACAGATGAGGACCGCGATATAGAAGAGGAAGAAAAGACAAAGGGAATATTCTGTTTTCTTTCCGAACGTTTATGGAGAGGTTAGTAGCCGGCGGCTCTCATTCCCCAGTAAAAACACTCGTCCGTGTGTACGGAAACATTTATCTCTCTTATATTGTAAAATATCCGCCATCGGAGCCACAGCGCATCGTTCGTCGATCGACTCTTCGGCAGATAAAAGAGGATGTTGAAGATTTTCAGAAACGTATCTGCTACTTAAGGGATGTACGGTATCTATAGGGGTAGCAGTTGGCATATTGTGAAATGAGCTTGAACGGTATTTAATATATTGTGTACTGTAACATCTGAGTCTTATCCTGTGGTTTGTGGTTCCAATGCTGATAATCACCCATGTTTTTGTGGTAGAATCAAACTACATATACGAGGGGATATGGATATAGGCTAACTATAGCCTTGGCCATTTAGCATTCACTAAACAAAAGCGAACTACCTTAAAAACTAATTAATAGAGTAATTTCGGGTAATATGGGATAGCTTCTTGTTTTTATGTAGGTAGCGACATCTGTATTTCAATACCTAAGCCAGCCTCTTTTACACCCTAAATACACAATAGCGTCGACAGGTTTCGCTGGTTGCCGTTCTCTAGTTTATAAACCGCAAATGAGCGTTATTTGTGGTTAAAAAGTTGTACACGATAGTCATTAGAATTTTTGTAAAGGTGTTATTTATTTACAAATCTTGCTTATTTTGACAGGTGAGTCTACTCAAATGTTAAGTTACTGTTTTAGAGGGCTGTTACCATATTTTTTTCTTAAAACATATTTGCAGCGTGTATTTTTTTCTTCAGTTGCTGTATCAGGTAATATGAAATGTTCCATATTATACTGCTTCTAGGTATCCCATATTACCCGACGTTTTTGTTTTGAGATTTAACGATATTTGTGAAGAGACAAAAAGCCTAATTATCAGCAAAAATTGGGTCGTTTTGCGTATGAAACAAGTTTTTCTTTGCAGAAACTATGTCGGCAAGAAAAAGAAAGCAATGGCAGTCTGATGATATGTGCAAAGCAATTGAAGATGCTAGAAGTAACAGGTTGGGCTAGTTGTCAACTGCAAAACGTTATAACGTTCCACGAGCAACACTTCATCGCTTGTGCAATAAAGAAGGTTCTCCTGATACTGTTTTGCAGTACTACATTAGGCCGAAAAACAGCTTTGCCACCGGAATTGGAAACAGAACTAGTGAAGTATTTGTTGATCATGGATCCTTAGTGACTGCAGTTTTATGTATGAATGCAGCAGGAGGGTTCGTGCCACCCATGATTATTTTCCCTCGCAAAAATTCAAGTGAGCAGCTTAACAAAGGAGCTCCTCCGGGCACTTTGTTTGCGTTTCACCCCTCGGGATAGATTCAGACTGAGCTCTTCACTAAATGGTTTGACCATTTTTTGGAAAGGACAAACCCCACCAAAGACAGTCCAGTACTCCTTATTTTAGATGGGCATCACACTCACACTCGAAATATTGACGTAGTCATTAAAGCCCGAGAAAATTTTGTAACAATATTATGTTTGCCTCCTCATACATCGCATAAAATGCAGCCTCTGGATAAAACAGTCATGGGTGCCCTGAAAACTCTACATTGAGGAAGTAAGGCCATTTATGCGGGCACATAATAGAGCCGTAACATATTTTGATATGGGCGAGTTATTTGGAAGAGCCTATACAAAAATCCAGACTGCGGAGAGGTCAATAAAGGGATTCAGTACAACTGGCATTTACCTCTTTCGACGAGATGTTTTCTCCGATGAAGACTTCTTAGCCGAACAGCAAAGACATCATGTGCCCCATCCTGTCACAGCAGATTTTCCAGAAAATAATGAACCAGCGCTATGTCATTCACCAAACATTCTCCCCAAGGATATCGCACCAATACCACAACTGAAAAAAATAGGCTCGAGAGGAAGAAAACCTGGTCGTGCAAGGGTAGTAACCTCAACTCCGAATACAGAGGAGTTAGAGGAATCTATTAATCGTTCACGTGAGAAAGTTACTAAGAGACTAGTCAATGAAGCAGGACCAAGTTCTCTTAAACAATATGCGAAGAAAAAGCGAAAAGCACGTTCACCATCAACATCATCTTCATCATTAACATCTTCTTCAGAACCCGTTCTCGCAAACTCCTCTGATGAACATGATCTCCACCTGTCATCTTATATTAGTCCCAAGCAATGTGCTGATGACACGACGGAATGTATTTTTTGTCAAGAGATGTTCACGATGTGTCATTTGTAACGGATGGGCTCATGAAGCTTGCACAAGTTGTGAAGGTGATATCTACATTTGCGATTTTTGCAAATAAAATTAAGGTCTATCTAATGTGTTTTATATTTGCTAAATTACCTAATGTGAAGAATTAAACTTGTTTTTTCTTATTTTTCGTATGATTTACCCTATTCCATATTACCCCATATACCTATTCCATATTATACTTCTCTTTTGTTTGACAGATAAAAATAACTAATTGGAAAGTATTTTTCTCTACACAAAAATGAGGTTCGCTTCAGTTGATCTGGTGGTAAGCAATTGTTAGGTAACATCGTATAAGTGTTTCAACAAATTTTCAGAAGAAAAGGTGTATTATTTTTTCAGTTATTGAGAGAAATGAAAATGGTATTCCATATTACCCGAAACTACTCTATAATTTATTTTTACTATTGTCATTTTAAGGTTTCAAGTCGGTAAATTCTAGCATCGGAAACAAGAAACTTTCAAAGCAGACATTTCTGCCGCGAATGTGAGAATGGGTTAATTGGAATATCGAACCATCATTGAGTACCTGCATTTGGGTTGCTCGCTTCCAAAGAGAAAAGTTATCCATTGAAGATGATGAAAGACTTAGAAGACCCATTTCAGTGTCAAGCCCATTTCTCTACAATGTTATGCAGCTTCCGTGGAATAATATTTATTATTGTACCAATGTAGATGAAAAGGTAAAAATATTGAATAAACATATTTTAACAATCATCAATAAACATGCTCCTCTAAAAACCCAAAAAAAATAAGATAGAAAAGCCGTTTCTTCTCTGGTTAACAGAAAACATAAAACTTTTGATAAACTTTAGAGATAAAGCTCATAAAAAATACTTAAGATCTAAAAAAACAAATCTGCATCTTAGATATTATAGACAACTAAGAAAGTTCACTAAGCACGCCAAAAAGTTGCCTACAATCAACTAGCAAGCAAAAAACAAGATGATTTTTGGAAAGCAGCGCGAAGGCCTAATCTGACCAACCAGAGGACACTTACTGAACTTGCTGATAATCTCTTAAATCCACCTGAGGTATATGATTTTTTTCAGATGGCTGATAACCTGCCAGACACTGCATCATTAAGCTTAATCAGTTTTATGAAAATAATAAAGCTGTAAATAATAATTTGGAATTTCATTTGATAGATCGGAACAGACTAATAAAAGTTGTTAATTACATTTCATCAGGTGCGATTGAAGAGGGTGACATATACATCAAATACATAAAATTATGTCTTCCTTTCTGCGCAAATGCATTGATTAATATTATTAGCACATGTCTTTTGGAAAATACTTACCCTTCTGTTTGGAAAAAGGCTATTGTGAAACCCATATCAAGGGTTGGCGAGCCTAAAGAACTTAAAGATCTCAGACCAGTTAGTGTTTTGTCCTCGGTGTCAAAACTTATAGAAAAACACATTTTTGTTCAGATGTCGGAATTTTCTGAATCGCAAAATATCGTTCCTCAATATGAATCGGGATTCAGGAAGAATTCTAGTACAATTACAAGCTTGGTAAATATTTTAAACGATGTCCGAATGCACGAGGACCAAAAAAAATGCTACTTGCATGATTTTGTTAGATTTTAGCAAAACTTTTGATACTCTAAATCACAGAATGATGCTGGCAAAGCTAAACTATTTTGGATTCTCACCTAGTGCAATAAGTCTTTTGAAAAGTTATCTAAGTACTGGATCAAGCTGTGTTATGATTTCTCAAGGATCCGTTTGCCTTAAGTCTGAATTTAAACCTGTAAAACAAGGTGTCCCTCAAGGATGAATCCTTTCGCCCTTGCTGTTTAGTATTTATGTGGCTGATATGTATGAAGCTGTTGCTACTTTGTATTGCTATTAACCCGGCGTTGGTACGGTGGGGTATAATATACCCGAACGCACTTTACCTCGTCATAACAGATCATAAATGGCCAGCAGCTTCGCGAGATTTCGTGTATCTTCGGATAAGACCTTAATAATCACGGAAACATGAAGCGCTCAGTGGATGACTGACCGTCGCCCGTGCTATGTGCTTCACTTTGCGATAGTGTATGTGATACCCCACCGTACCGATACCGCTACATAAGAATTTTCAATCATACCCCACCGTACACTTTTATTTTTAGTGGCTCCATTCATTTTCCAAGGTGAGTTTTTTTGTAATTTTATTTAATTTGAATTACCTCAGGTATATTTTTAGTATGTCGCACTGGGAAAAAGAGCAAGAGAGGTTATTGAAGCTATGGGAAGAAGTAGGAGCAGAAGACTCTGAAAATGAGCAGCTAGAACAAGAAGCAGCATCTGGATCGGAAGCAGAAGAAAATAATAGTGAAAGGTCTACAAATTCTGATACAGAGCAAGAAATAGATGAGGAAGATATACTTCACCTGTCCGAGGCTACAACGTGCACATCAAATGATATATACATGGGAAAAGATGGAGTTACAAAATGGAGCAAAACTTGTGGAAATTTAGCTGTGAAGACAAGAGCTGAAAACATAATTTCTCATTTACCTGGAGTAAAGACAGATTTCAAAAACATCAAAGAGCCCTTGCAGATTTGGAAATGTTTTTATACGGAACAAATGCTCTCTGATATTGTAAAATATACCAACGACAAGCTAAATGAAAAAGCAAAAAACCATAGTCGCCCTGATACTCAACATCTCACAAAACATACAACATTGGAAGAACTTCAAGCATTTTTGGGACTTCTATATGTAGCTGGTGTTTTAAAGTCGGCAAGACAAAATTTGGACGACCTATGGTCTACTGATGGTTTGGGAGTTGATATCTTCAGGTCAACAATGTGTAAAAAAAGATTTAGTTTGTTGCTACAATGCTTACGGTTTGACAGAAGTGCAACAAGACCAGAAAGGCGCCAGCTGGATAAGCTTGCACCCATCAGAGCAATTTTTGACAGGTTTGTGGAAAACTCTCTCGCTGTATATACTCCCAGTGAATACGTTACAGGTGACGAAAAGCTTGAAGCATTTAGAGGCAGGTGTTCTTTTCGCCAGTTTATCCCAAACAAACAGGCAAAATGTGGAATCAAGATCTTTGCATTGGTAGAACATTCTACGTCTTGAATCAAGAAGTTTATGTTGGCAAGCAGCCATCTGGTCCATTTGAACAAAGTAACAAACCAGAGGATATAGTTTTACGCCTTTGTAAGCCGATTCAAAGGTCTGGACGCAATATAACTTACGACAATTGGTTTGCAAGCTATTCGCTTATGACAAGACTATTGCAAGAATATAAGCTGACTTCGGTCTGTACTCTACGGAAAAATAAAAAAGAAATTCCTGTGCAGTTTTTACAGACTAAACATAGAGCGGAAAAATCATCTATATGTGCATTTCAGAAAAATGCTACGCTCGTTTCATATGTTCCCAAAAAAGGAAAAAATGTTCTGCTTCTTTCGAGCCTACACCATTCAGACATGATAGACGAAAGCACAGGAGATGACAAAAAGCCAGAAATTATAACGTTCTACAATTTGACAAAAGGTGGTGTCGACGTTGCAGATGAACTTTCAAGTAACTATAATGTTTCACGTAATAGTAGAAGGTGGCCCTTGACCATATTTTTTTCGTTATTGAATACAGCATCAATCAACGCTTTTGTGGTATACCTTTCCAATGCTGGAACTCCTATCAAACGTCGCGAATTTATCAAAGAATTGGCACTAAAAATGATTATGCCTCATATGAGAAATCGACAAAAAAATCCCAGAATATCTTTATGTCTGAAAAGAAAAATGAACGAAATTACAGGTGCTTCCACTTCTGCAAATATCGTTGATTGTGAGCGTCCTGGCAAAAAACAAAGAAAGTCAAAACGATGTTATACATGTGATCGTTCTAAAGACAGGAAATCTTTCTACTGTTGTGCACTCTGCAAAGAATTTGTATGCTTAGAACATTCTATGATAACATGCGAATTATGTTTTGAACAAAACAAAAATAATACATGATATTGTGTTAGTATAGTGTAACTTTTTCATTTCTTAGAATATAATAGCAATGTATGTATTTTAACATTGTCAAACTTTGACCTATTCCAATAAATGTTTGAATATTCATCGAAACACCAAAAAACGTAGTTTTGATGCGATGGTCTCTTACATTCTCCTTTACACATATAAATTTGATAAAAAACAGAAATGGAATAACCTACAACACCTAAATTGCACCCTTGATGGATTTCTCTTTCAATGAATGCTCATACCCCACCGTACCACTAATGTTTGTAAACGCCACCGTACCAACGCCGGGTTAATAACGACAATTTGGGGACAACCGAAAGTAACATTAATTCAGACCTGCTAGAGGTAAACAGTTTTGCCATATACCATAATTTAAAACTTAATGCTTCTAAATCAAAAGCTTTGATTTTGGGTTCGAATTTCACAGAAATATTGAGAGCGTAGTTTCAATATCCGTATAAACAATGAGTTCACGAAGCAAAGAATCTAGGCGTAATCTTCGATAATGCATTATCATTTGAACCACACATAAAGAAAAAATTGACGGCAGCTTACATACGACTAAAAAATATCTCCAAACCGAAAAAACCTTTACTGCCTAAGCAAAAGTATTTCCTTTGTCAGAATCTCATACTGTCGCTTTTTGACTATGGAGATATACGAGCCCCTTCCCACTTCAGTTGGTCCAACTATTGAAATCTTAGTTTTATTCTTATCAAACACAAATAATATAAATGTAGCAGGATGTCATGGGTTTAAAATATTAGCAATGAATATTTTGAGAATATATACTAGAAAACACCAACTTTATCACTCACTAATCAAAATTGCAGCATGAGAATAACACATGCAATTACAGCATATTAACCTATTTTCATCTCAATGCAAAATAAGTCTATAACGCATAGCTGGCTGTGAAAAATAAAAGCCATGACAATTGTTTTTATTAATCACAGCTGTCAGAATACGTTTAAAATAGTCTTGGGTAGTTAAGGTTTTTAA